TCTCCTCCACTTTATGGTTATTCTCTGCAAAAGGTTAGTAAACCTAATACTAGTATAATATTATTATTCTAACATAAATATGTATTGCAAGCATAACTAGCTCTCCTCTATTTTGGTAATATTGACGGTCGAAACTGATCGCTAACGACCGTCAACAGGGAGAATGCGCACGGGCGGGCGACGCCAGCGCTGGCGTTAGCGTGGGGCCGTGACGCGATCCCGTGCCCGCCGTCCGCTGCCGTCGACCCGCTCCCCGCCCCGACGGAGCTCTGCCTCCAGTACCTCACCATGGACATCTCGCCGCCGCCTTGCTCCCCTGCGCCCGCGTCGTCTCCGCCGCCACCGCCGCCACGTTGCCGACCGCCGGACCTTCTCTCCCACCTCGCACCGTCGGTCTCCTCCCCACCCGTCGGCCGGCGGCGCCGACCTGCCTAGAGCCCCAGAGAGAAGAGTGAGAGAGAGAAAGAGAAGGGAGAGAAGAGGGGAAAGAAAGAGAGGCTAACTGGACAGGCTGACATGTGGGGGCCCACGTCGGTCCCACACTGACTCAGCAGACACGAAAGATAAAACCGGGATCAAAACCACCGAGGGATCTATTGTGACCGGTTTTATATAGTTAAGGGACCCTGTATATCTGGTTTTGTAGTTCGAGGATGTTTTGTATCCCGATGACAAGTTGAGGGACCTTCGGTGTACTTTTTCCTTTCGTGGACTGCCGCCATGGGCTTGGCAGTGTCTGTTTGTGCAACACTTTATGGAACTGCCTATTCATTTGTCCGGTGATTTCTAACAAAAAAAAATCATCTAGATTTTTTCTACCGTTCGATTTACATCCAACGGACTAAAAAAAATAACAAATACATATTTACTTACGATATTTTTATCAAAATTACAGTGCACTTACATGTCATATCAATTGAATTTACAAATGTAATTTTAGTTATATATGGCTGTAATTTTATATTTTTTAAAAAATAACAAATACATATTTACTTACAAAATATTTTTACTAAAATTACAGTGCACTTATATGTCATATCAACTGAATTTAATAATGTAATTTTAGTTATATAGAACTATAATTTCCTGCACTAATCTTGGTGCATGCCTCTACGGCCAAAAAAACATCAAATATCAGAGAAAAAAAATCACGTTTAGCAAAATCGACACCTTACACCTAACCAAACCGAGCTGCACAACATGGGAACCAGATCCTCTAACGTAGCGCTGGCTACGTCAGAGGGACGTCCAACGGCTCTCGTCCGTTCATTCGGCATCGGACGGAGTCGAGCGAGCATAGCGATTAGACTCAGCCCATATGTTGCAGAAAAATCGGCCCACGCGACCTACAGCCAATCAGCCATCGACGCCGCCTCCGAGCCACAACCGCCGGCGCCGCTAGGAAGCAAGTCGTCGCCGTCGGCGTCACCGCCGCAGCCTGCGCCTCCCAGCGAGGTCCCTTCATTGCCACCCTCCTCTTCCCCATCCCCGTCCCCCACCCGCCTCCGTGTCCTCCCTCGAGCGGAAGCCTCCGCTGCGTCCGGCGTCCCGTCGTGGAGGTCGCGGACCGTGCGCGTCGACGAAACCATGACTCCTGGTTGGAGGTCAACATGTCATGGAAGATACAGCAGGAAAGAAGCAACTTGTCCAAAGCAACAATGCATTGTTGTGAGATTTATTGTTAAGAGCATCTTGAGTGCTGCAATTTCTGTTGGAGTTAATTTATTTCTAGAACATACCAGCCTACTCTCTAACTCTCTCTACTACTCCCTCCGTCCCAAGAAAAGACAAACACTGATTTCCGTGCCAAACGTTTGACCGTCCGTCTTATTTGAAAAAAATATGAAAAAAATTAAAAAGACAAGTCACGTATAAAATATAAATAATGTTTTATCATCTAACAACAATTAAAATACGAATTATAAAAAAAATTCATATAAGACGGACAGTTAAAATTAGACACGAAAACCCAAGATTTATTATTATTTTTTTTTACGGAGGGAGTACTCATGAAACACAAAAGTCAAGCAGCAAGTCGTGTAGACACATAAGACTCGCCACGTGCACCGACCTGTCTGCATTTCCGCTCACCCGCGTCGTCTCACTCGACAGCGACTTCTGTATCAGTGTCACTGGTCCGCTGCATAGGGTGGCGCTGTTGTTCCACAGCGCCATGCCCCCGGCCCCCGCTGCCTTGCCAAATTCTGACTGCCACGCGCCCTCGCTGCAACGGGGTGGCGGACGCAGTTTAAAATATATAGGTGAGATGAAGAACGAAGATATTCGCTCAACTAGAGCAATCAAAATATAACCTACTTTGTATTTATAGTTTAATCGTATAACTACCATACCTCGATCATAGTTTGTGTTATGCGTGCGTTTTGCAGAGACGTATTAATCTGTTGGTCATTCTCACACCTTAATTTATCTAATTTTGTTGACCCATGACTACTATAATGGGTAAGAGATCTTAAGGGGTGGGACGGCACGGGTCGTAACGGAGTCGGTCGACCCACCCTGCCCCCGGTACCGTAAATCAATATTGTATATAAATATGCTTTACGTCGTAAATATAGTAAACTATTGATTCGAAAAATACAATAAGCATATATAAAATACTACATACCCGCCGAATATGTGTACGAAATTATAGTAGATTAATTCAAATAAACTAATATACTAACTATCTTAATCAGCTGTGCTAGCAGGCTCGGATTGTGCTCCAGATATATCTGAGGAAAAAGTACACCGAAGGTCCCTCAACTTGTCATCGAGTTACAAAATCGTCCCTAAACTACAAAACCAGATATCTGGCGTCCCTTAACTAATCAAAACCAGTCACAGCAGGTCCTTCGGTGGTTTTGGCCCCGATTTTGTCCTACGTGGCAGCTGAGTCAGCGTGGGACCCACATGGACCCATGTCCCGGTGTCCACGTCACCACCCTCTCTCTTAATCTCTTTCCCCTCTTCTGCCCAGGACCGCCGCGCCTCCCTCCCGGTGCTCGGCGCTCCTCCTCAACTTCCGCGTCCTCGCCGCCGTCGCAGGGTCCCACTTCTCCCCCGCGGTCTCCCGCCTCGCGGCCCGCCTCCGCCTCTCCCCGTCCATGGCCGCCGTCACGCTCCTCGCGCTCGGCAACGACGCGCCCGACGTCGCGGGCGAACGACGACGCGGGAGGGACGGCGAACGGCACGGCGATGAGCGCGACGGCCCCGACGACGAACGCGGAGATGAACGGGCGTCGGCGGCCAGCGACGGGCGATGCGGCGGCGGAGACGGCGGCGACCAGCGGGTCGGGAGGAGGTCGGCGTGGCGAGGAGGGAGAGGAGAAGGTCCGGCGGCTGACTCGCCCCGCCGCCGCTCCGCTCCACTCCGCCTGCCGCCGCGCGCTCGCGGGCCTGCTCCGGCCGTTCGCTTGCCGCCGCTCCGCTCCGCTGGCAGCGCGCTCGTCTGCCGCCGCCGGTGCTCCGCTCCGCCGGCCGCGCGCTCTCTGCACGCTCGTCGCTGCCAATACTGGCTCAGCATCGTCCACAACCACAAGAACAGGCTCTTCTACCTGCTACGCTGTTAGCACACAAGAAAACACTCTTAGACCGAGACGTACTCACACCTGGTGAATACACATGCAGGAGAGTAGGCAAAGAACACAAGGTATTTGTGCTGCACAACCGCAACCTTTTCTGGCACTGCACACCGCAGTGTTTTTTTTCAATGCACATAATCAACCTCAAAGTACATGCTTAAATAGACCAGCTAGCAGCCCAAGTTATGCATACATAAGAAAACATGCAAAAGCAAAATACTAAGTCTAGATTATTTCTAACATACGCTATTGCGGCTCCATCTTCTCACCTCACCGCCGATGGCGGCGGCGGCGTCGTCGTCGTCGTCGTCTCCGTCTCCGGTAGCGCGAACCATCTTGCGCTCGCCGCCGCATGCAGCCGCAGCCGCATCACTCCTCTCCTCTGATCCCAAACCCACACAGTACCTCGCCGTCACGCCGCGCAGCGAGCTCCTGCGTGTGACACGGCGGTGGCACGAGACGACGATCATCACTCCAGCGGACGCATCCAACAACAGGGCGCACCTGAAGCACGTCGTCTTCACGACGAGCGTTAAGGTCGAGGAGGCTTCTTCGCCTTCGCGAGGCCCGAGAGCAAAACCAGGTCGAGTGTTGCTATCGCGTCCTCCTCTGCCACCAACGCCGCCGCGGCTTACACGTCTTCTTCGCCGCCGCCGCCGCCGACCGCCGTCGTGGCGCCGCCCTCCTCTCCCGCCTCGCCTCGCCCCGCCCCGCCGACAGGTCTACAGGCAGAGAGAGAGAGAGACGAGGAATCGAGGAAGAGAAGGGGAGAGATACTCAGCCTAACATGTGGGGCCCACGTGGGTCCCACGCTGACTTAGCCGCCACGTAGGATAAAACCGGGGTCAAAACCACCGAAGGACCTATTGTGACCGGTTTTGATTAGTTAAAGGACGCCGGATATCTGTTTTGCGGTTTGGGGATGATTTTGTAACTCAATGACAAATCGAGGGACCTTCGATGTACTTTTTCCTATATCTGATCAGCGTGCATATATAGCCCATAGATATGTGTGTGCATATGTACTTATAGATAACTTAACTATGTGTACGTGTACTATCGTGTATAGGTTTCGGTGCATACCGATGCATATGATGTACGCTTAGATACAATAGATTAATTTTAAAAAAATTAATCCATTAGCTACATAACTAATTAAAAGGCTCTCATGCGAAGATTGTGGTTGGGCCGACAACATACGAAAATGGTGATCTTTAAATACCTTTTCGTACAGGCGGGTGACATAATCGCATACGAATATCGGTTTTAAGCTTTTGGCAACCTGCAAAAACCATTTATTAGTAGTATACATTAGCTCATAGGTTTGATGAAGAGTTCTTTTTTTTAAAAAAAGAAATAGAGGGCAAAAGTTTTGTGTAGTATGTATTGATATAGTAGGGGGTTTGATGAAGAACTTTTACCACCGATAATTATAACAATATGTTACCAACTAATTACCAAAATCCTCTATATTCATATGTTTCTTACATTCAACCTACTCATTACCAACTAATTACCAAAATCCTCTATATTAATTTGTTTTTTTACATTCAAACTACTCAATACCAACTAATTATTCAAACTACTCACTACCAACTAATTAACAATATCTAATTATTACCAACTAATTAGCTAAATCACCAGGTAAAGACTATATAAGATGAGCTAGTTATTAGTGTTAATTGCACAAACCATGTCTACCTCTACTGTCATTACAGCGGTGTTTCTGTTATACCTTGTTTTCCCCGTGCAATCAGTAGAGTTCTTCAAGAGGTACGTCGGAATGTATAAGAATTATGTTGTTTGCATTCTACTCCCTCCATCCATAAAAGTTACACCTATTTTACATTTAAGATTTTCTAAATAAGTTGTTTCTATTTATAGTCTTTATGCATTCAAAACTTAAATGAGGAGATAAATTAAATGTTTAATTAGAACCCAGGGAGTCATCTAAATACTCATTGGTTACATCCTTGCATTCACTTCTTGATTTTGTAACATCCAAGATAGTTTAATTTCTCCTTATCTTGGTGGCAAAAGTAATAGGTGTAACTTTTGTGGATGAAGGGAGTAATATAATTCTTATGTCTTAGCTCCATTTGTTTTTTTTTCTGATTTCTTTTCTCCTTTTCAGTGTTGGGTGGGCTCCATATCATGTTTTGGATTACGACTTCTTCAGAAACAGTTACTATGTCAATTTTTACATGTTTCGAGACGATGTAATTGCTACCTCAAGTCAGCTACAGATTGATAATAGGTATATCCTTAGCGAACAAACTCCCAATCGTGCGCCAGTAGATTGGAAGATGGGACATCTGATTGGGAGAGGGGATGACAATGCAATGTTGTCAATCCGAGCAGATAACTTGTATGTAACCGGATTTGCCAACAGAACCGGTCATTGGCATGTATATCCAAAGTTTGCAGATCAAATTCCCGAACCCAAAACACTCCTGACTTTTGGAGACGACTACCATTCTCTTCTAGGTGATGGTTCCAGCCAAAATCTACCCAAAATAAATCTCGGACTGCATGCCACATTAAATGCCATCGAGACTTTGTCCAACTACCAGCCATCCTCAGATAACACGGCCATCAAAATAGCATTAACCACGCTAATTGTTACCCTGCCAGAAGCCGTACGTTTCCGGCCTATCCGATACCGGTTATTGGATGGATGGTTTACAGGGACTCGTCTTACTAGTCATTTGGCAAAGGAAGTGGTTAGCTGGCGAGACATGTCCTGTGCTGTCCTTATTTTTGACAAGTATGGAAGGTGGTGGGCAAGTGCAGAGGCCGGAATATTGCAGGGGAAGTTCCAGATTCGAAGCAAATTTGATACCCTCCAATACCTTGATGTGGTGCTTTGGCCTAGACCTAAGAAATGCTCCCTACCAATCTTAGATGACCAACATATTCAGCAGATTAGGGCACGGATGGATAGGAGGGGGCAAGGAAGAGGTTAATTTGTAGCCCCTGATTAACTGCTATCTATATGGAATAGCTTGTTGAGAAATTTCCTTTTCATATACAATAATGTTGGTGAATGAATCTTCTCATATCAGTTGCATTTTCTGTGTTTGTGCATGTATATTTTTCATTCATTTTCAAAGACTCTGCATTCTACAATGATATACTACCCTTTAAACAAAAAAACACTAACCTTTGGATTCGCTAAATCACGCATTCAACGCCCCCCAACCCCTTCTCCTCGATCTTCCTTCTCCCGACCTCACCGCCGGCAAGGCCGCCCCCAGCTGCTACTGCGCCACCTCAATCCCCAGCGACATGGGACGGATGGTACTGCACGAGTCGCTCGACGGCGCGGGGGGCGCGACCCCGGGAGGGAACGAAGCAGCAGCATGTCGGGCGGGCGGCTCGACACCAGCGTCGCCAACAACCCAACCGGTGACCGGACCTCGCATGCGCCGCGCTCTGCGTCGCCGCAGCCGCAGGCCGCAGCGGACGACTGGCTCGCTCGTCTCCCGATCCTGCGTGCTGCTCCCCCATCGGACAACTACCCTTCTTGTTTGCGCCCACCGGTGCGCCGCCTGATCACGTCTTCTTCGACCACCTCGGCTGTTCCATCTACATCCACAAGGTACGTTACTATAAAGCACAATTAACAACATTTGCAACAAGCACAGATAATTCTTTTCATCGTTTGACTTCAGACTCACTCTGTTACTTCGCTTCCTTGATTGAATTTGGAAGAATTGCAGCAAGCACATATATTCTTTGTATTGTTTCACTTCAGACTCTGTTAGTTTAAATTCTCAAGAATTTCTTCTTGTCCTGGTTTGCTTGGTGGCTAGGTTTTAACATGCGATCTGCTTTAATGCTTTTGTTGATATTTTCAGATACACTGAAGATGAAGATGATATGATTGGCTTTACTGGTTTTTACAATGTGGATATTTTCTTTTCACATGATCCCAACAGCCTTCCTAGGGGTTATGAGAAACACAAAAACAAGTTGGGCAAAGAACCACATATTATGACATCAAAGTCACTTCAGGTAGAGGTTTTTTTGATCATCAGTATCCATGTTCTATATTTAACTGTCAATGTGTTTTTATCTGCTCAATAGCTGTTTATATCTCAGGAAAGGTAGTTACCACAAATTACTCAATTCGTAGCATTAAGCCAGCCATCCTTTGGGCCCCTTCCCCTACAGAGAACTTTATACCAATTTCTCCTCTTTTCCCCCTACAGTGTCTGATGTCAAATTTTAAGATTTGTCAGCGCACAGGGATTATGCTTATACTTTTTCATATACTTTGAGGAATAAAAATTCATTTAAGCCATTTTGACCTCTTCATATGATCCAGAATGAACATAAATAGTTTTAGTTAAACCTTTAGGTATCATATACTGTTAATACTGTGGTTTACAATATTCTATTTATTATTTTCCAAGTGCACAGTCAGCTTTTGGGTCGTGGACTCATGGATTTTTTTTCATTGATTGTTTCAGAGCTCTGTATATCAGTATGTCCTTATCTCAGATTAAATCTGCTGCCACTATTTTGAAAAGTAAGCTATGGTACCAGCATATCTATATTGCTAGCGAAGCCTTTTTGTTTACATGATTGAATTTTTGTTCTTATTAGTCATCTAACTGAATATTTTAGTTCCTCTTTGGCCAGAGTGAGTCCTAGATGAAACCCAGGGAAAATATCTTTAATATATTATATATTTAACATAAATGTTGGTTTATCCCTGTCTCTCTGTTCATAGGTAGAATCTATTATATAATTAAAGGAATAGAAAAAGGAGCCTCCACGTTCGCTCTCATGGCCTAGAAATTCTCACATTAATCGGAGAAAAAGTAAAAAACAGAGTTCATATATAAATACAATTTAGAAATAGCTGAAATTCGGAATTAAAAAATAAGGAATATTAGAAGAGGAGACTAGTCTATATAGAAATACAATTTAGAAATAGTTGAAATTCGGAATTTAAAAATAAGGAATATTAGAAGAGGAGTATAGAGTCCATATAGAAATACAATTAGGAAATAATAGAAATTCGGAATTAAAAATAAGGAATATTAGAAGTAGAGTATAGAGTCCATATAGAAATACAATTAGGAAATAATAGAAATTCTGAATTAAAAATAAGAAATATTAGAAGTAGAGTATAGAGTCCATATAGAAATACAATTAAGAAAAAAAAGAAATTCAGAATTAAAAAATAAGAAATATTAGAAGTAGAGTATAGATTCCATATAGGAATTTAAACTAACTAAAATTCGGAAAAAAAAGAGCCTCCACGTTCGCTGAGCCTCCACGTTCGCTCTCATGGCCTAGAAATTCTCACATTAATCGGAGAAAAAGTAAAAAACAGAGTTCATATATAAATACAATTTAGAAATAGCTGAAATTCGGAATTAAAAAATAAGGAATATTAGAAGAGGAGACTAGTCTATATAGAAATACAATTTAGAAATAGTTGAAATTCGGAATTTAAAAATAAGGAATATTAGAAGAGGAGTATAGAGTCCATATAGAAATACAATTAGGAAATAATAGAAATTCGGAATTAAAAATAAGGAATATTAGAAGTAGAGTATAGAGTCCATATAGAAATACAATTAGGAAATAATAGAAATTCTGAATTAAAAATAAGAAATATTAGAAGTAGAGTACAGAGTCCATATAGAAATACAATTAAGAAAAAAAAGAAATTCAGAATTAAAAAATAAGAAATATTAGAAGTAGAGTATAGATTCCATATAGGAATTTAAACTAACTAAAATTCGGAAAAAAAGAGCCTCCACGTTCGCTCTAATGACCTAGAAATTCTCACATTAATCGGAGAAAAAGAAAAAGCAGAGTCCATATAGAAATACACTTTAGAAATAGTTGAAATTCGGAATTAAAAAATAAGAAATATTAGAAGAGGAGTATAGAGTCCATATAGAAATACAATTAGGAAATAATAGAAATTCGGAATTAAAAATAAGGAATATTAGAAGTAGAGTATAGAGTCCATATAGAAATACAATTAAGAAAAAAAAAGAAATTCGGAATTAAAAAATAAGAAATATTAGAAGTAGGGCATAGAGTCCATATAGGAATTTAAAACTAACTAAAATTCGGGAAAAAAAGGAGCCTTCACGTTCGCTCTCATGACCTAGAAATTCTCACATTAGTCGGAGAAAAAGAAAAAGCAGAGTCCATATAGAAATACAATTTACAAATAGCTGAAATTCGGAATTAAAAAATAAGGAATATTAAAAGAGGAGACTAGAGTCCTTATAGAAATATAATTTAGAAATAGCTGAAATTCAGAATTAAAAAATAAGGAATATTAGAAGAGGAGACTAGAGTCCATATAGAAATACAATTTAGAAATAATTGAAATTCGGAATTAAAAATAAGGAATATTAAAAGAGGAGACTAGAGTCCATATAGAAATACAATTAGGAAATAACTAAAGTTCGGAATTAAAAATAAGAAATATTATAAATAGAGTATAGAATCCATATAGAAATACAATTAGGAAATAACCGAAATTCGGAATTAAAAATAAGAAATATTAGAAGTAGAGTATAGAGTCCATATAGAAATACAATTAAGAAAAAAAATAGAAATTTGGAATTAAAAAATAAGGAATATTAGAAGTAGAGTATATAGTTCATATTGGAATTTAAAACCAACTAAAATTCGGAATAAAAAGGAGCCTCCACGTTCGCTCTCATGGCCTAGAAATTCTCACATTAATCAGAGAACAAGAAAAAGCAAAGTACATATAGAAATACAATTTAGAAATAGCTGAAATTCAGAATTAAAAAAATAAGGAATATTAGAAGAGGAGACTAGAGTAGTTATTACACATTAGTAGTTTTGAAAAGTTATTGCAAAATTTAAAATTATGTTATCATTGTAATATATTTTAATAATATAATAAGAAAACATATATGCTATTATATGAGAGAAAATATAATGATGCTAGCCGCGCAATCTGCGCGGGCCACCGTGCTAGTTTTACTTAAAGAAAGAGTCAAAATCCAGTTACTGCCCAGTTGCCATGCCTTATATATTGCTGTAGTGTACCTTTTAAATCACTTCCGTTTAGAGGATAGCCATATACTCATGCACTTGAAAGTAACAATTTTCTTCACAGGCATATAATACTTGAATAACAGGTGCTATAGTGGGAGAGAGGAAAACAAATCAGCAAGAATAGCTAGTTTCCTTTTTTGTTTTCCTGTTTTCAGCAAAATTATGCTCAATCAATTTATCTCAGCTTAATTTCTTACTAAAATTATGCTGCCCGCAGAAAAGCTGCTTGAGAGAATGATTTGGAAATGAAGCTCGCACACGGGGACAGTACCTCTCCGAGGTATTGTTTCACTTTCACTCTCAATTGACATAAATGCTAAAAATTTATCGATGCAGCTATTAATTTGACTTACCTCTGTAAATAATGCATGATGCAAGATTCAAGTGCACGTGCATGATATCTAGACGTTGGTGGATGAATCTTGTGGAGATAAAAACTCAAATGGATATAGCTAAACTTTGTTTTGGATACTAAATAGCATTGCGGAGATCATTTTATCAGTATAGTTCAATGACATGTTGGCCTAAATAGGGAGCATTTTATTTCATACCTTAGCTTGCAAAGTACAACTTATTTTTGTTTCATAGCTCTGCATATAGCTATACATGGTTTTCTAGAAAAGATGATCAGCCAAAGTGTGAGATGATCCTTTTCTGATCTACAGTACCATTCTTTCCTGTTTACATCAGTTGACATAATCTTTTTTGTCAGGAAATGAAGATAGCATGGCCTCAATCCCGCCCACCAACCAACTGATCAAGTCAAAAACACCTGAATTTGGTGGCAGCAAACCCGTATGCAAAAATCAATTTTTTTTCAAGCGGGCCTCTTAACAGGCCCTGTCTGCCACTAAGCTGCCTGCCAATCCCCTCTCTCTTAAATATTATAAGTCCTCGTCGTCTCCTCTCCTCCCCCGACTCCACCTTCCTCCACTTCATGGTTCAGGCAGTGGTGCTTCGGGCGGAGGCAGCGGTCAGCGCATTGGGTGGTGGAGGAGGCGAAGGCGGTGGCGGCGTCAAGCGCTCTGGGAGGTGGTGAAGGCCGCAGCAGTGTTAGGTGCTCCGGAGGTGGTGAAAGCAGCGGTGACGGCAGCCACTAGAAGGACAGATCCACCGCCATGGCCTCGAAAGGGGTACATCCAGTCGTGGGGAGGGCGACAACGAAGGGGAGTTTGGGAGGAGCACACGGGGATGGCAGCGGCTGTGGGAGTTCGGTAGGGATGACAGCGGACCCAATGGCTCGGGAGCGGTCAATGCCAGTGTCAGGAGAGGCCTATCCACCGCTCTCGGCCTCGGGAAGACAGCTCCGCCACTGGAGATCTTTGGAGCGACAATGACACCGGTGGCTTCGGGCGCGACGATGGTGGCAGTGGCGGCCTCGAGCGATGACAATGGTGGATCTAGACGCGACGCGTGGAAGACGCCTTTGGGACCTAGAGTTTATGATTATTTATTTTGTTTAAAAATCTTTTTTAGTCGGGCCGCATAATATGCCCGCCTTTGAAAATTCCATTTTCGTGATCAGTTATAATGCTCGTACGGAGAAATCCTTATCCCTATAGACATCTGGGTGTAGGCGGCATTTTAGCCGTTTGGAAAGATTATTTATGTAGTAGTGTGCTTCTTCTAGACCAGCATGGCCTTTAAAGAGTTTGAATTGATTACATTAGATAAGCCCTTTTTTTTAAAAAAAGAGAAGATTGCAATAGATAACTGAGGTTAAGCTCTAAATCACGCCAAATGACAAAGAGGCAAAGTTTGGACGCTAAACAGGAATTACTAAAGACTTCCAGCACCTCCTTCTGATCACCCACAGTTGGTCCACCAATTGCATCTCCACTGTAGGACCGCCTGCAAGTGAAACTGCTGAAAAGATACGGCCCTTGCTGACTCCACTGTTTACTCCGCTGAATTTCAATGAAAAGATTCACTAAATCCTCTCTCTCTCTCTCTAAAAAAAAATTGGAGATAAGACCCTATTTTGATGGGACTAAAACTTTTAAGTCCCTATCACATCGGATGTTTGAACACTAATTATAAATATTAAACGTAGACTATTAATAAAACCCATCTATAATCTTGGATTAATTCGCGAGACGAATCTATTAAGCATAATTAATCCATGATTAGCCTATGTGATGCTACGATAAACATTCTCTAATTATGGATTAATTAGGCTTAAAAAATTTGTCTCGCGAATTAGCTTTCATTTATATAATTAGTTTTGTAAGTAGTCTATATTTAATACTCTAAATTAATGTCTAAATACAGGGTCTAAAGTTAAGTCTCTGGATCCAAACACCGGGGGGGGGGCTAATGCGCGACTAGTCTAAAGTAGTGTCTAAACTTTATATATGATGTATACAGACTTTATATACAACGTGTACAAACTTTGTATACGTACATATTAAAAAATATAAAAAACTAAAAAAAACATCACGTATATTCGTATACACGTATACAAACTTTATGTACTGTATATAAACTTTGTATACATGTATATAAACTTTATATATGTGTATACAAACTTTGTATACGTAAATAAAAAAAATAAAAAAATACACGTATACAAACTTTATGTACACGTATACAAACTTTATATACACGTATACAAACTTTATAAAAACCGAAAAAACTGAAAACGATAAAAAAGAAAAAAAAGAAAAAGAAACCAAAAATAGGGAAGAAAACAAAAAAACGAAAACAAAGGAAAAAGAAACCAAAAATACGGAAGAAAACAGAAAAAACGAAAAAAAAAAGAAACCGTACACGCGCCGGAAGAAAAAAAAAACAAAAAAAAGGGAATACCGTACACGCGCCGTCCGCCGCTCCTCTCCGCGCGCGATGCGCGACCGGTCGCGGATTAGCGTTTTCGTCCGAACACCACCTCAAGTAATCAGCCCATCAGTCGTCGGGCTCTGGAACTGAGGTCTGGCTGGCCACCCGGACGCCAGCAACGGCCGGGAATAATTCTGTTGCCGGGCGCCACCCACCAAATGTCAGATCCAGGATTGCCGGACGCCTCCGCCTGGGGAGCCGATCGATCCACGTCAGGGACGACGCTGCGACGGCGGCATTGGATGAGCTGCGGCGAGGAGGAGGGACGCGCGACGGCACGGCTCCCTTCATGCCGCCGCCGCTCGACGTCCATTCTCTCCACTCCCTCGACGCCGGTGGCCGGCGGGAGGCCGCGGCAACGCTCGCCGTCGTGCTGCCCAACCGCTGCATCCTCCTCCTCCGCTCCTCACAATCTTGGCACGGTGAGTATTATGTTGCCAACGTGACGCCTACCTGTGCATGCCTACGTGGCACTTTAATCAGTGTAAAACTGGAGCTAAGTTTTTTTCATCAACTTTAAATGTCTACTTTCTCGTTTTCCCTTAATATGTTTTCAAACTGTTAAATGGTATATTTTGTACAATAATTTTAATATATGAACGTTTTTTTTAAAAAAAAATCAAATAATATCATTTTTAATTTTTTAATAATTACTTACTCGATTAAAGGTTTATCTTAATTATGCGTGCTGCTGCAAAATGCTGTGAAAGTTGTCGAACGCACCAATATTTGCTACGATAAGTCATCTTGGTTTCAAATCATACACACGACACAAGTTCCACTACCAGACTCGACCTACTATGTAGGAGCGAAATCCACGGAAAAATTGGTTTTACCGTCAGAAAATATATCCCTGTGGGTGCACCGACAGAATATAATTTTCTGTGAGTCCTTTGCGGGACTGACAGAAAATATACGCATCCTTAGGCTTGCTTCAAAGTGTGGTAGTGTATCCCTATGAAAAACTGACGTGCGTTTTGCTTTTTTTATGTACCACATCTGTCATTGGAGAAAGCTTCTCTTCGTATTCTTTATTTATCAGGTATCTAAAATAATGTCCTTTTATGTATCCCACAAAACAAATAATTTTTTTTTGTGAAGTATCCTTTTCCCCTCGCATTAATATCCCTTTCTTTTTTACATATCATTTAAATAGTTATTAAAAAATTAAAAACAAATTATTATGATAGATTAATACTCCCTTTATTTAAAAATGTACGACGACATTGACTTTTGATCATTCATCGCATTAAAAAAATAAATATTATTTATTTTGTTGTAACTTGTTTTATCATCAAATACAAATATAATATTAACTTATACTTTTACATATTTATATTAAATTTTTAAATAAGATGAATGGTCAAATGTTACGTGAAAAGTCAACGATATCGTACATTTTGAAAAGGAGGTAGTATGTGATATGTCACATTACAAGCATGTAAATCCAAATTTAACTTCTATAACTTGTAACAAAAATAACAAACATAACTATGGACTTTAATTTGTTCTTTTTTCTACAATTCTAAAAGTTAAATATTGATTTCTTGCGAATTAAGATATCTCGCGCATTAAGTTAATCTTATGATTTTTCTAATTTTTTTTTATGACTAGAGTATTTAAGACATGAAAAACAAGGAGTACCTTTTATGCCAGCAACCGCAAGGACTAACACCTTCTATCATAGTGAAACTATCTCCATCGTCATCATTGTGCGATCCACGATGGTCTTCTCTTTACACGACGAGCACTTGATCAACGATAGCTTCTTCCAGCGACTGTATTGGAGAATACATGGGATGCCGAGCATGCAAAACCACACTGCGCCGCCTACTGCCTTTAACCGGGCTGCACTGCGCCATCGCACTGCGCTGCCTCTCGCCGCTAACCTCACTGCGTGCACTTGGCTGCCACAGCCGCTACCTCGCCGCCTGCCCGGTTCCGTTGCTAACATCGCTGTCGAAACCCTAGTTGATTGGGATATTTTGAAGGATTCAGGTTATTGGTCAGGTTAAGTTATGCGAGAAAGTATATGCAGAACGGGCTAAGCACAAAGATGTTACTTGCGTGTGGTGCCACGGTGACAGTCAGCCGCGGTCGAAAGACAATTGGATTAATTGGGGATATATAGTACACTAAACCAAATTCACGGATCTAAATATATAATTTTTAGATTCACGGATATAAATGACACCACTTCATGGCACCACTTCGTAAGTTTTGGAACAGATCATGTATTTAGGACGGGGAGAAAGTAAAACAATTATCCACAAATGGACAGACATCATCATCGGTCACTGGACGCTGGTGTAGTGTACAGTGGTGCCTGGCCCGTTCGTCGCATTCACAATCACACACCATAATTAACACCAACTAACTATCCAAAGCTTCACGAGATTCCCCCAGCTCTTCGTGACACCGCCACCCGAATCGCTACGCGCCTTGCCTTTTTACCACCTCTTCACATGCACGCACGGTGCTAATTAAACCGAACAACCACCTCAGCTCTCGCCTGAGATGATTAGCAGCTAACGACGATCACGAGCCGCCGCTCGTTACACGTTCGCGCCGTATATTAATTAGTCATCGTCTCTCTCGTACGTGACACCGCCGCTATGCGAGACCGACTGATGCTACAACTTCTGTCCTTGCTCCGGCCGCCGCTGCCGCCAGCCATGGCGGCCGCGGCCGGATCAGTTGGAGGCGACGACCACCATCACCATCAGCAGGCGAGGTACCCGCTCGACGCCGGGTCGTACCGGCTGCTGTGCAAGATCGGGAGCGGCGTGAGCGCGGTGGTGTACAAGGCGGCGTGCGTGCCGCTGGGGTCGGCGGTGGTGGCCATCAAGGCGATCGACCTGGAGCGGTCGCGCGCCAACCTGGACGAGGTGTGGCGCGAGGCGAAGGCCATGGCGCTGCTGTCGCACCGCAACGTGCTCCGCGCGCACTGCTCCTTCACCGTCGGTAGCCACCTCTGGGTGGTCATGCCGTTCATGGCCGCCGGCTCGCTCCACTCCATCCTCTCCCACGGCTTCCCCGACGGCCTGCCGGAGCAGTGCATCGCCGTCGTGCTCAGGGACACGCTCCGCGCGCTGTGCTACCTGCACGAGCAGGGCCGCATCCACCGCGACATCAAGGCCGGCAACATCCTCGTCGACTCCGACGGGTCGGTCAAGCTCGCCGACTTCGGCGTGTCCGCGTCCATCTACGAGACCGCGCCATCGACGTCGTCCGCGTTCTCCGGCCCGATAAACCACGCGCCGCCGCCGTCGGGGGCGGCGCTGAGCTCGTCGTGCTTCAACGACATGGCCGGGACGCCGTACTGGATGGCGCCGGAGGTGATCCACTCCCACGTCGGGTACGGCATCAAGGCCGACATCTGGTCGTTCGGCATCACGGCGCTGGAGCTCGCGCACGGCCGGCCGCCGCTCTCCCACCTGCCGCCGTCCAAGTCGATGCTGATGCGGATCACCAGCCGCGTCCGCCTCGAGGTCGACGCCTCCTCCTCCTCCTCCGAGGGCTCGTCGTCGGCGGCGAGGAAGAAGAAGAAGTTCTCCAAGGCGTTCAAGGACATGGTGTCGTCGTGCCTGTGCCAGGAGCCGGCGAAGCGGCCGTCGGCGGAGAAGCTCCTCCGCCACCCGTTCTTCAAGGGGTGCCGCTCCAGGGACTACGACTACCTCGTCCGCAACGTGCTCGACGCCGTCCCCACCGTCGAGGAGAGGTGCAGGGACTCCACCCAGCTCTGCGGCTGCGCCCGCGGCGCGCGCTGCGTCTCCCCGTGCCGCCACGCCAGCAGCGGCAGCAACGTCGTCGCCGCCAAGAACCGACGCATCAGCGGCTGGAACTTCAACGAGGAGAGCTTCGAGCTCGACCCCACCGACAAGCCACCGGAGCAGCAGCAGCAGCAGCCATGCTTCCCCTTCCACCACGACAACGACGACGACATGGTCGAGCACGAGCAAGAACAGCGGCGGAGGCAGGATGGCAACGATGGCTCAAGCGACGTGGCGGTTCCCCACCTGGTGACCATCTTGGGGAGCTTGGAGATGCAGAGGGACATGGTGATGCAGGTGCTAGAAGGCGATGGCGGAGGCGGCGGCGAGACGGCGGGGAGGGAGGAGATGCTGGTTGGGTACGTGAGGGAGCTGGAGAAGAGGGTGCAGGAGCTGAGCACGGAGGTGGAGGAGGAGATGGCCAGGAACGCGCATCTGCAGGAGCTTCTCCACGAGAGGGCTTGTGAGAATCACACGGATTCATCTCACACATCAGGGAGTCGTTGAGAGATCGCCGTGCGTCTCCTTGCAGTGTGTGATTGGTTGGACACAGGATTGATCAACGTATATGCATGCATGCTTGCTCGTGAAAATTCTTAGGCTGCTAATATAGTTTGTACAATTTGTACACTTGCACGGAGTGATCGAAATGCTGGTGGTGTACTTTCTCAAGAAGTATGCGTTAAATGTACAGTAATTTACACAGTTGTACCTGGGCTACAAGTTTTACTTTTTACGGGTGAAGAAAGTAGGAAAATTGTTGTTTCGCTGCACATTTTTTGGTTAAAAAAGGTTCCATCTCCACATTAAACAACGGAGCGACTCACTGGTTCACAAGTCGCACCGAAATGGTGATGGTCCTTATATTAGACGGAGGCCAGTACACTAAGGGCGACCATGTTAAAGGCGAAAATTTTTCCCTTGAAGTAGTTGAGATGAGCGAGGTAGTAGTTACGAGGAACGCGGCACACCATCTCATTCAGGCATTCAGCCCATCATGAGCTTGCAACATACAGGTCAGAGCTATTGCCATTCTTGGGGCCCGTTTGGCAGGCTTCAACTCTTAAATCTAAATCCAAAAGTAGAATTTGATGTGGAGCTATGAAACGACTCGAATCTCACTCGACCCCTCTAGTTTATTTTTTAAATATCACTCTAGCATACTCCGCTTCTTTTTTCGAATGAGCTAAAATCGGTTGATCTAGTTTATCTCTAGCTCCACGAGAGATATAACGTAGAGCCTTGCTAAACGGGCCTAACTTCCATTCAGCTTCGGTGGAGATACTTCCCCACTCCCATACTGTAGTGCGGCAAGCTTTGCACAAAGGAGAGCTGCCCGACTTCGATTCCTCCTCTCCATTAAACATTACTGCCCTTTCTATTAGTGTTAACTTCATGTGGCATTGTGTATTTTCTTCTTCCGAATACAAACTACTGAAAACAAATCACTATGTCCACTTCAAAATAAGACGACAAGAAGGTGAGTGTGCGGCAAAATGTCTCGTGTAAAATATTTAGTACTTTAACCTCTATTTGGCCTGTATATTTAGAAATTACTGGAGCCAATCCTACCCTTTCTATATATGCACTAGTCCTATCCTAATAATTTGCTACGGTAGTAGATGACATAGTACCCCTCGATAGTAAGACATCCGCGGTGACTTTATCAATTTCAAAATATAACAGTCTAGTTTTCGGATGAACTCATAAGGATAAGATGTATATGTGTATGTTCAAAGGAGTGAGTGGGCATATGTTTATATGAGCGTCTTTGTTTGCACGTAGTTTTGAAAAAAAAAAGGTCTAATATTCAGCCTACTAGGCTGATACACACATGAAGGCAGAAACAAGCACAAAAGTACAACTATCTAGGCTGTACTATTGCAATTTGTGGCTTAATTATGTTGTAGCTACTACCATGTAAGAGCTCATAGCCTTATCTAAACATCGGCAATAGCATATGCATATCTTTGTTTCTCAGTATATGAACTTTTGATATATAGGAGATCAAGGAACCAGAGGGTGCAGGTCCTTTTTACAATAAATGAAGAAAATGGGAACTGTATTGGCTCAAGGAGTGGAAGATAGGAAGTCAACACCAAACAACACATTGTTAGCATAAAGCCGAAGTGAAGCACACCCACATTTGTTACTTGCTCTACTGCAATGTATTTTTTAAATATTACCCAGCCTCTCTTGGTTATTATTCTCCTTTCGTGAGAATGGGAGGCTTTGGGAATTGAATGATCTCAGTGCTGTCGAGTTGAATATGGGTGTAAGTTTTGCAACATTGCTGGGTGGATTGCTACAGCCACGGACCAGGTGAAATGTTCAGGCCAGCATCAAAACACTCGTAAGTGACCTCTGCTCCTTCCTGGAACGAGCCTTCAGCGCCGATTGTACTATGTTATGCACTGAGGGATCGGTTAGAGCCACTAGCTTACCGGTTCTGATTGAAGCCATAGACAAAGGTAGGGACAGAGCATGGTCTTCTCCAGTGATTTCGTGGTCGTTGGTTGATTGTGTGTTCCACTTGGAACAGAAATTCATTGGATTTTCACCGGATTTTAGTTCAATTCATTTGAAATTAGCAAGCCAAATAGTTGGTACACTTTCCCGGAGTAAAATGTTCTTGCTGTACTTTTCAAGAAGCATGCCTTATTAATGTTAGTGTGTTTTATACATGGACGTTCTGAATCACATGCAGCACGTGATATATAATGTTTTACTCGAACACAGTGAGTAAAAATTTTACTCCCACATTGTACAGGGAGTCAGGGATGTTCTATAAGATATACATTTCATTGGTATGATATAATGGTTTTAATTTTATGCTTGTATCTACAAGTTTATACTCCATCCATCCCATAGATTAAGACAAACATGTATTTTAATGTTCAACGCTCGATATATTTGACCATTAATTAGTCTAATATAAATTAATTTTTATTCAACGAACAAAATATGATTGGGTTTGACACTTCAATTTTTTTCCAATCTTTATGATTTCGTCGCTACAAATATTATCATATATGAGATGTTAAGTCACATGTTAGTTTTGAAAACAATGTCAAATTTGACCGCATCTTACAGTGGAACAATTGAAGTGCAAAAGAAATTTATTTTTACAGTTTCACTACACATCTTTCGGGGCAGAATTTTCATCTTCACATTAAACAAGGGAACAACTCATTTGCTAGTTCACTAGTGAATGGTGATCTTCGCCATAGGACAGGATACCGCTGCAGCCGTGCTAATTGCCCAGAGATGAAACCTCAATGATTTTTTTGCGGGTAAAGCCCATGTACCAGTTGCTTGCGAGTATTAGATCTACATGGCAGCCAAATTATGGGTCACATTGTTTTTTTTAAAATATATTTTCAATAGTAACGCTACGTAGCCATCAGGTCTAATAAAACCATTGTCAAAACCGCTTGAGGAGGTCAAATAAACTGGTAATGGCAACTTCTGGTTTTGCAATTTATAAAGAAATCCAACACAATAGCTTCCAAAATTTTGAACCCGTCTTTCATCAAGGTACTGTCTTCCTCCTTAAAAATGAGGACCAAGCGCGCCCAATGAGTTCCAATGAAACCATCTAAAAAGTAGATAGTTTTGGTGCCATATGGCCCAACATATAGCTGCAATGCCTACGAAAAAAAATATGTTTTAGCCTAGGTTGAATTTAGCCTATTAGCAAGAATATTAGCAAAACACTAGCTGGCTGTTGAATTCCAAAAATAATATACGGCATTCCACATATTTCTCACAATTTGGCACTAAAAAATAGATGTATTCATTTATTAGAACTACAAAAGCAATACTTAGTGCTACCCTTCCATTTTCTTTTCACCAAATATTCCTTGGTCAAAATGACCCCTCTTCTTAAATACTAGAGGAAAGTTTTGATCTTCAAAGGAAGTCTAAGCTTCCAAAAAAAAGAGACTTCATTGGTATAATATCATGATGCATAAGAGTTTTATACATGAAATTTACCGTTAAAACTTTTTTTTTTGAATTCTCTAAATGAAAACATAATTTTGTTCCGAGAGTTTAATAGTCCATACTTCTGAAACCAGCTTGTACCAATGTTGAAGATTACCCCTATCAAGGTTCTTCTAAAGTACACAATCAGGGGCACTCTATTTAGCACCTTAGCCACCGGTATATTTTTATTTCTTGCCAAAGAATAAAAGAAGGAAAAAGCATGCAAAAAGCCAAATCACTACACCAACAATCCTCCCAAAATCTTATTTGAGAGCAGAACCTCAAACGAATCACATGCTAAAAAAGATTCTTTAGCCTCCATTAGTACTGACAAAAATAAGAACCCCAGGTTGTTTTTCTACATGAGTAATAGTTTTCTTTGCCAAATACTTTTTGTTGAATAATAAAGGGATAGAGGAATTCTGCGAATATTGACACGTTGCATTGAGCCTCAGGGCCAGTATATATAGGAGATACATGGGGTAGAGATAAGGAAGGATTAGATATATGGAATGAGTCCACACAAATCAGTCATATCCTAATATGACTCTAACTACCATATACTCTAACACTTTCCTAAGAAGGCTCTACCACATCCCTTCCTCATTTATTAGCTTAAAAGACCATTTTCTTAGCAAACATTTATTTTGAACCTCTAAATTTTGGATACCAGAACCCCACACTCTTTATTTACATTTTTCACAAGGTATGGCTTGCTAGGATTAAGAATGTCGTTCCAGCATAGTCCATATTGCAGTAGATGTCAACATTTGGTAGGGAAATTTTGTGTGATTATTTTGTTTGGGGATGTCATATCACAAGAAATGGGTAGTGCAAGAAACAAAGCAACGTAGAGTGAAATATGGACAACTTAAGGTGGATATACTTGTTTCTGGAAGTTTTTTGTGCAATATTTTCATAATAGGGTAGAAGGAAATGCCTATGAATTTTATTGTGCACAGTTGGTGCATATTCTCCCTTTTCATAGCGGTACGTTTATTTATCGTTTCCATGACTCCACCCATCACTGGCTACAACTACAAGATATGCACAATGACTTACATTTATATCATCTTGTGTATAGTTGTACTCATTGCTTAGGTAGTGGAAGATAACACAGAGTACTATTTCTCAACGTGGCCAATGGGAAATAGGAGGCATGTGGAATCTCAACAGAATTACAAGCATTAAACATGGAAGAAAATTTTGTAATATTGGATTCTCCAATTGTGATGCCTATTGGATACTAATCAATCTTAATGGCAAGCTCCTTGATCTCTTCCTCGATCTTGTTCAGTGTGACCGCAGCTAAGAGCTAGCAAACATGGAGGTCAGAGCGGCAGCCATTTCTCACTTCTGTTCAGCTTCGATGGAGATTTCCCTCTCATTCAACGGCACGAGGGGCACCAATTTGTCCCTACCGCTCCTTAGTGTCGGACGACTTCCTGTGCCATTGAACTTTCTTCCCCAAGTACACTTTACAACCGTTGTCCAATTCAAAATTAAAAGGCAATCAGGATCAATGTTTATTCAAATATTTCGAGCAAACTATTCTTAATATGTGTTAGCATGTATACTATTAGGAATTAATACACCGTGCTAGCCAATCCTACCGTACTATATATGTATTATCCTTGTCCTAATAATCTGCTAGTGAAAGACACGCATACGAAGGCATGTAACACTTGCAATGTGTGGCTTCATTATGTTTTAGTTACTACCAAGAACCAATGGGCCTAGCTACCTGCACAACCACAGAGTTTATGCATGCCTTTATTTTTCTATGGTTAGGAGTATATGCCTTTTAATATTGAGGAAATAATGGTGAGCAACAAAAGGGTGCAGCTATTGTTGTACAATAAATGAAGAAAAAGGGGATTGTCTTGGCTCCATGGAGTGAAAGATATGAAGGCAACACCACCAACACAACGTTAGCAAAAAGAATAAGTGAAAGTACAATACCTAGGATGTCATCTCCCGTACATGTTGCTCACTCCATACATCCTATCAAATATTACCTAGCCCTTTTGGTTGTTATGATCTTATCCTTCTCTTCCCACTAATTTTGAAATTCTAGTTCTCTGACGAACATGAGAATGGAAGGCTTTGGGAATGGTTTCAGTGCTGGTTGGATAGTTGTATATATAGGCTTTGCATCATTCTTTAGTGAATAGCCATAGCATTGATAAGACTGGAATCAAGAAGCTACTTGGCGCCCTCTTCTCCTTCCTGAAACTGGTTTGTTGACTGAGGAATTGATTGGAACCACTAACTGCATTATTGATTGGAGCCACAGTCAAAGGTTGGAACATGGCGTGCCATCTTCCGTGACATAGGGTCACTGGTTGATTGTGCTCCATTCAAAACTTGAGAATTCTTAGAGGTCCTTACTTGGAATATAAAAACTTTATAGAATTTTCTTACTTGATTTAGCTCTATTAATTTGTTTGAAACTAGCTTGTTAGCTAAATAGTAAATTGGTACACTTGCTCGGAGTGAATGGTCTTGTAGTACTTTCCTAGAAGCAAGCGTTAAATGCATGGTACATAGTGCTAAACCACATGTATCGTGTGCTATTATGCTGTAGTATATCATGTCTTAGTCAAACTGTACTTGTGGATATATTCAGTTTTACAAACACACAGGGAGTAAAATTTTACTCATGCATCATACATGGATGTTTGGTATGTAGCACTTTTTTTTTTCTGAAAATATATTATTTTCTCACGTGTTTTGCAAGAATATACCCTTTTTAAAAACAAAAACACGGAAATATAGTTGTCTCGCTAGAAGGAGTGGCAAGAGCTGGCCAAGCGAATGGTACCACCTCGAGGACTGGCAAGAACCAAACGATGCAGTTACTTTTGTACAATGATGCAGTTACTTTTGTACAATAAAAGAAGTAAACGGGGATAATCTTGGCTCTACAGAGTGGAAGATATAAGGCAACACCAACAACACATCTTTAATTAGCACATTACATAAGTGAGAAAATGTAGTAGGATATATATAGACATACTATACTGCAGATGGGTTGTGTTGTATTATATATACGGTTCTCACTCCAGACATCCTGTGAAATATTACCTAGCCCTTTTGATTGTTCTTCTCCTTCTCTTCCCACTAGTATGAAAGTCAAATTCTTCGACGAGCATGAGAATGGAAGGCTTCGGGAATAATTCCAATGCAGAACGGGTAGTTGTAGGTGTAGGATTTGCAACATTGTGTGGTAAATTGCTACAGCCATGGACCAGGAGTATCGATTGCACTGGCATCAAGAACGAAGCCCTCACCTTCTACTTCTTGCGTTGAAAGGGGCTTGCATATTCTACCACCCGCTTGAGCAGTGTCGCATCAACCTAGGATTTGCTGGGCCTCGCTCCACCGCTGGTTGTATGACTTCATAGTCAAGTTGTAACGAAGGCAAGACCTACCAGCTGCCGGAAAACTAGCAAGGCAAAGCTAGGCTCGCACTATCACACGTCTATCCAAAGCAACACAACTCCGTAGCACCTATCTTCTTTTATTTATTTTTAAGATAACAAATACTGGGCCTATTCGGCTGTCTATCTGCGGCGGCTGCGGCTGCGCCATGTGTGTGTGGCACCGTTGGTGCCGGCTGCACCGCAGCCGCAGCACAGGCAGACGAACAGGCCCACTAGCCTCATAGTCTAGCCCAACGACATTACATAACTTGGTTACTGTTAACTATGCTTACTACAAAGTTAAGTGCTAACCATCAAAATCATGTCATGTGTGTTCCTGATTTGGGAATGCTCTTTATGTTTCTTGTTGGTATGTCATTTATAGTCTATGGCTATCACTACCTACATGATGCATGGTGAGTTATATATATCAATATCATATATACCGGCAAGCTGCTCAGTTCCTTGCTATTTTCCTTCACTCCATATTTGGGAATGAAAATAAGAAGAGGAAGAGAGGACCCATACTATTACTCAAGTGGCTGTAGAAATGGGAAGCATGTGGAATCTCAACCAGGGTACCAGCACCAAAAAAAGTTCCAGTGTTCTTGATATTTCAGTGCCGTTTCCTGCTCCATTCAATGAAATTGATGCTCTTCGATTTATTCAAAAAAAAAATCATTCAGTGCCGCTGAAAATATGTGTTGCCATGATCACTGCAAAACTAGAAGGCTACAAGGGTTCAAGAATACCAAAATGTTTTGAACAAAATATTTAGAGCTCGTTACTCTTAAATTTTACAAAAGTACATTTTATATACGCGTGACTTTGTTTCTCCATATATAAATGTAATAGGACCTTTAGTAAAAGGACATCATCACATCATGGCAGCAAAATATCATTTATATTGTCCAATTTGCATACAAGGTTAAGAAAATGCAAATCATCTGTTCATCATGTCTTTCTTTTTTTTCGAGGGAACAGACAGGAGCTCTGCCATTTCATATATTCGAGGAGAGAAATAACAAGCCCTCAACATTTTCTTTAACATAAGAAAGGAGTTATGTCAAATCATTAAAAAGAAAAAAATCATAAGCAAAGTATATACAAGAAATTTGCGCCAGCCTGATAGGCTTAGAAAACAAACCCTCCAGAAAGACTCGACAAAGACACAGATGACAACAAAACATTAAGGGAATCCCCTCAATAGAAAAATTGCAATGGTAACCATTTCTCCTACAAATTCAGCAAAACGTTTCATATCACTCATACGATTCTACTTTTGGAGGCTTTCCAATCACAAACATGATGTTGTCTTTTGGACGGTGGCACCCTCACTACGACGTATCTTAGAACAATGTATAGAAGACTCAACCTAGGTAACTGAGCTCCTAAAGCCTGGAGAATGTTATATTGTATATCATAATTGAAAGATATCTAATTTCCACCCCTCTACAAACTCTCTGAATGTTGTGTTCCTACTTCCCTAGCAGTACTACCATGTGTAATTTACCTTTTCTACAAAGCTGAATGAAAGCTATTCAGGCGGGGAAACTCGTGCAAAATATAAAGGCATTCACCACATAACATTACCATCAAGCTAGACGTGTTGCTCGCTGCCTCGCTCCATACATATATATCACCCACTAAGTCAATGCTGACAAGTATATGTGAGAATGAAAAGCTTTGAGAATGATCATCTGCAGGAAGGACATCATGGCAAACTGCAGTTTGCCGAAGTCTTAAACAAAACTTTTTGCTGAATTGCAACATCTACCTTCCAATCGTTCTTGCACCTGGCGTAGCCTGCAACCTTGCACGGAGTGCTGGCTCGCAAGGTCCGAGCAGGATTAGTTTCTCCTCCGTGCTGACTCTGTTCAGCCTGGACATGTATGGTGTAGACTATAGATAATTTAACACTATAGAGAGCTCGCTACTGTTGAACATGCACTTCGGGTTGCAAATTTTTTCAAATACAACCATTGCAAAAATGTTTCAAAATTAAAAGGAAATATGCATCAGTAGTGTATTTTCTTTAGATAAGATGGATCAGTAGTGTATGTATATATGTATGAAAATGTTTCATGCGAAATATTCAAAACTTCAACATATGTTAATCTGTATATTTAGGAATTAATTAATACCACAACCAATCCTACCCTCCTATATATGCATGAGTCTCATCTAAAAATCTGCTAGTGTCAATAATCAATCAAATGTATGCTCAAAGTACAACTATCTAGCTAGTTACTCCATATATATCTCCATAAATAGAAGTATAGGACCTTTGATTAGAGGAGAGATTAAGCAACTAGAGGATGTCCTGGCTCCAAAAGAGTAGAAGATATGAAGCAACACCAAACAACACATCCTAAGCATAAAAGCAGAAGTGAAGCACTGTAAGATATATCATCACCAGCATCGATCTGTTGCTCGCTCTTTGGCATTATATTCTGTTAAACATTACCCGGGCTTTTGATCAATATTTTTCTGTTTTGAGATTGGGAGACTTTGGGAATGATCTGAGCGCAGTCCGATCGACTGTAGAGTTAGGCTTTGCAACGTTCTTTTGTGAATTGCCATAGCATTGATTGGAGTAGCATCAAGAGGCTACTTGGGGCCGTCTGCATCTTCCTGCACCAGCCCAATATTGACTGAGGGATCGATTGGAGCCACTACATTTGTTTGGATTGGAGCCTGGATCAAAGGTTGGAATAGGTCATATATAGCTTGGCTAAAAACTTGTATATGTGTATCACGTAACAAGTTTTGTGTGCTTTCCTCCTTTCTAACATGTTGGGTTTGTTTTAAGTTAAATTCTTTAAGTTCGATTAAATTTATAGGAGTTAGCAATATTTCTAAATTAAAAACAAATATACTATAAAATACATATTTAATGATGCATTTAATAAAACTAATTTAATATTGTAAACGTTGATATTTCTCTATAAAAATGGTCAAACTTGACTTGGGACAAAACTAAAAAAAGAGTGCTAAGGGCCGGTTTGTATCAACCATATTGGTATGGTTTAGTATTGGTTGTAATACAAATATACACTCTGTTTTTTAATGTATGACACCGTTAACTTTTGATGTGACGTTTGATCATTCATCTTATTAAAAATATAGAAATATCATTTATTTTTTGTGAATTTTTTTATCATAAAAGAAACTATAATCTTAACATATATTTTTACATATTATAATAAATTTTAAAATAAAATGAATGATCAAATGTTATGTGAAAAGCCAACGGCTATAGTAGCTAGCAAGTATTGTTGAAGCAACTAGAAAAAATGGCAAGACAAGTTTGGTATTAAACAAAATGGATCTGATAGATCTTTTAAAAGTTGCATGCAGAAAGCTTGAGTCGATGGTTATGTAGCTTTTTACCAATTATGGATGGAGATTCATAAATAGACTTCAATAATGTGTTCTCCATATATTTTATTGGATATTTTTATCTTTATATGCTGGTTGATATTATTTTTGGACTACACTTATTTTGAGTGCTAGACTGTAATATTGGGTTGTAGCTTTTTTTAGCAAAGGCCGGGATGTTATATTCCATCTATCTATTATATTATTAAAGGAATAGAAAAAGGAGCCTACACATTCGCTCTCATAGCCTAGAAATTCTCACATTAATCGGACCCACAATAATTTCAACCAAATTTTCAATAAAGCTTTAGGTAAGGGGCCACCGGTCCTATTACTCATAGTAGCTTTATTGGTTTGTTGAACATTGTTCTAATTTCAACCAAATTTTCAATTTTGGTGTGAACTAAACACACCCTAAATTAAATGAAGCAAAAGGGCTGCGAGGAATGAGGAGTGGAAATTAAATACAGAGGCATTCACGACACAACATTGGCATAAAAGCACAAGTGTGCAGATGTCTACATCTCATCAGCTCCATGTGTTGGTGCTCGCTCCAAATGTTCTTTCGAATTTCACCAAATGTTAACGCTTTGGTTATTCTCTTACTTTTCTACCAAATATTAACGCCGCGGCTATGTATGTGAGAATGAGAAGCACTGGGAATGATGATGGTGGGAACGAACTGGTCTCCCTGACAAGTAGTTTCTTCTCAAAAAATCGAGATTTGGAGGGAGAGACATCTTTCCAAATATTTTTTAAAAAAAAATTGTAAATATGTTGAGAACTAAACATGTAACCTCGGGGTTAAAATCACACACCCCTTACCACTGCACTATCAAGTGCATTTCAACAAGCATTTTTTCTCACCTGTGTGACGAACTGATAGTGCCCCCCGCGCTGATTATTCTTGCCATGGACGAGTACAGCATTCTCGATCAAGTACCAGCTCCAGTTGTAATACCTGGATCGAGCCGGAGGCCGGAGTCTCTGCCACTCCCACGCACGGGACGGTTGCCGGAGTTCCACATGCTGCGCCGACTTTGTCTCCCATGGGAATTAGTCCATGGAGCTCGCCATTGATGGACACATATACTCGTGAATTTGTCAAGATCGCTAATTTAATTTACAGACGTTTCAGTGGTTGAGTTCTAAGTGGAGCAAACTTCGTATTGTTTACAAATTTAAGGAAAGATGAATTGTAGCTAGGATAGCATGAGGAGAAAACAAAATCAAAGCACAATGATGTGGACTCTTTTATCGTTCAGTCGTTTTTTGAACTAAAGTTTTAGTCTGCAAGTTTTTCACATGTACTGACCATGGAGCAATGTATCCATGACTTTTAATTAGGCCAGCACTCGGTTCTTTGGCATGGATTCATGGAATGTTTGATTCGGGAGCATTAAGTGACCAAGCCTCTAAGCACGCGTTCATTGCTCATACACCATCGATTGTGAATTATTAAACCAGGCTAAATTAAAACATGTATATATGAGTCACAAATTTCAATAGTACTACTGGGCAAACTGATGAAAATATGCTGAAGCGGATCGGATGAATTTTCAATAGTACTGGGCGTCTGGGCCCCATTCTAATGCTACCCGGCAATTTAACTTTCCAATTTGCATCCTGATCATTGAAGTCAGAATATACCTTTTTCATTGTTCAGTCGCTAGGTGGTTAGGTGCCCTATGACATATAAGCCAGGGATGCAACACACTTTCATTATTAAAAAACAAATCAGTAGGTAAACGGTTGTATTATGCAACAAAAAAAAAAGGAGAAAGAAAATTGCTGAGTAGACCATCTTTGGTCGGTCGACCAGATTTCACAATAGTCCTGGTTGTATTAAAAACCGGGACTAAAAAGCACCTTTAGTCCCGGCTTATAAGTTCAGGGGTACTTTTTGATCTTTAGTCAAGATCATTTTTAGTCCCAGTTCAAAAGAGGACAGGCGGTGTCAGACCCCCTATATTTTCTTTACTCCTTGTTGGTGTTACCAACCATGACTAAAGATTTATTTGTAGTTCTGATTGGTGTTACCGAAAAAAGATCGACATACGCGGAGAGGCGTGCGCGCGGATCGGATCGAGGTACATATCTCCTCCTTCTTCCCGGTTCTATCTCCTCTCCTCACACCCTATCTCTTTCTCTCCTTCTCCTCTCCCTCCCCCTCCTCCCCACTTCTGATCTGCAGGCGGCGGCGTGGCGGCGGGCGGCGCGCTAGCAGCCGGCGAGGGGGCGGCCGACGCGGCAGAGGGCGTAGGCACCGTATTTAGGTTATTTTCTTTTTTTTTGAGAATTTGTGATTCGGATCTAAGATGTATTTGATTTGTGTGTGATGTATTTATGATGAATTTTTTAGAAGTTGTGATGTAATTTTTTAAAGATTTTGTGATGTATTTGGAGATGATCGATTTGAGAATTTGGAGGTGATAATCGATCCCTAATCGATTTGAGATTTTACGATTCGGGGATAATTGATTTGTGATTTTGGGGACGGGGATGGAGTGAAATTAATATATTAAAAACAATGAAGAAAAAAAATAAATGAGCAACCGGATCTAGCCTGGCTTTATCTTTCGGGACTAAAAATGTATTTTTACTCCCAGTTATTTCACCCGGGACTAAAGATAGCGATATTTAGTCCCGGTTGGAAAACCAGGACTATAGGGGATTACGAACTGGGAGTAAAAACCACTTCTCCATCAGTGAAAGCCCAGATTATGGCATAGCTCCAGATCCTAAATCCACGTAGGATTTGAAGTTTGTACGCAAACTACAGTGGTTTAAAATTTTATATTTCATTTAAATTAAAAACAAAATGAATCATCTAAATGTTATCAACTTAGTCGTATATTCAAATATATAGATTTATAAAACTGGGAATACTGATCAGCTCTAAGAAATCTGGGATCCAGAATTATACCAAACGTGGCCTATATATAATCAATCATATATTGGGTGCAAGAGCCCAAGGCCCCATGTACTCAGATGTAGGAGCAGTTTCACGCATTACTCTGTTTCAAGATGATATAACTCCTTCACTATAAAATGAATGTAACACACAAGCTAGCTAGCTGTGTGTTGTTTCCAGGAGTACTGTACAGGCAGTGCAGGCCTGGAAGGTTAGAACAAAACGGCAGAAGAAACACACACTCGATCGTTTGCTCCTCATCTGACGCATGCATTCATTCTGGAGCTAGCTAGCCATCGATCGCCTCAACACACACTGTCCGATCGACCGACTACTTAGCTAGGTAGCACGGCCGGCAACTGATGCTCGTGCCTCAGATCGATGGGAATGGGACGCTGCCTTTGGAAATCATCCGATACCGTCGTGTCGCTCTCCTGGACGCCTGCTGCTCGAGGAGGAACGGCGAATCCCGTCGAGCAGCGATACATGCGTCGTAAAATGGCTGCGGCGATCATCTGAGGATCGGCGCCGACGAGCAGCAGCCAGGCAGGGGTCACCGGATGGTGGAGAGCTGGTACGACGAGTCCCAGCAATGATGGTTGATCAAACTCACAGCACAACTGCAGCAGATAAAAATATCGCGATGAATTTAACGAATTAATTAGCACCGTCATATGCGTGATTGCTCTGTGGCGCTAGTGTGGGTTTAGGTTACTAGCAGAGATCTGTGACTGCTAAGCATAACATTGGGAAAAGGACAGAAAAAGTCTTCTATTGTTAAGCCTACCATCTATTATAACTCTAAGTCCAATTGTAATGGATCTATTAGGGCTAATATATTCGACATTTATTCTAATACAACTTTAAATATTATCACTGTAAAATAGAGCACCAGACATTTCCTCTTCATCTATAGTCATTGAGTACATCAAACTACTATGACCGAGCTCTCAAGAAAACAACAAACAAACTACTTGACTGCCATAAATAAAGGTTGGCCTTGCAAACATATGGAGTGAGCTCTCATCCAAAAAATTAAAATATCATATGGAGCGAGCAACCGGGCAATGGTGGTTCCCGTGCTAGCTACTCCTAGAAACAAAATATCGTGAGATTGAGCGCAATATGGTGGCCCTATGACTTTGAGAAGAATAGTGTTCTCCATTCACATTGTGAGATGTGAGTCCAGCTTCTGGTCTGCCATGCTGCCTTCAGTTAAGAGTTAACCCCTGACGAACAGGTGTGTGAATATGGGAACAGGAGGAGTCTGGAACTTGTTTTGTGCAACCTTTATAAGAGGGACCGAGCTCATCTGACGTAAAGTTAAAGGAACATGGGTCCCTGATAGGTGGGGCCCACATTCATAGGCTCACACGCCAATGGTCATGTACTTCTTATTTTACGATCAGAGAAGTCTCGTCCTCCAAAATAAGAGGCTCCTTCTTAGGCTTCTCTAATGACCAACCTGTTGCACCACGTCCCCAGGTGGTCCCTCGTGCTTTCCTAATGCCAAAACAGATAGCCAAGGTAATGCAGGATTTGGAGAATAGGAAAACAAATGGATTGGAGAAAAAAATATAATATAACATTTGGATTACTTTAAATGAGACAATCGGAAGAGAAAAGAAAACGAGACATAATAATATATAACAATTAAAACCTTGTTTGTAATATGATAGTGGGTTCAAAATACTTTCATAAATTAAAGTCTAAATGAGTGACAACTGAAAAGATTATTTGGTGAAATGATTGCTGAAGGTTGATGAATGAATAAATGCACACGTTTACCGAGTTTCTAATCAATACGATTAGTGTAAAATATTTTTATATTTGATTTTTTTATGATATTGTTTAAAAGTTATGCTTCTATACTTCTTAGAGAAAAAAAATGCACGGATATTAAAGCTCACGAGTGGTCTGAAGTAAAAGTTAATTTGGCCGATAGTAACTCAATGTTGTTCTTTTGGAGACATATTTCCGCTTTATGTTTATACTTATCTGTCAAAACTCAAATTTTCAATCTTAAATTTTAGGATTTTCTTCATCGTTGTTTATTTTTCAGCATTTACTTTTGGTACGTATATAAAAAAATTTCACAAATTATTTTTTATTTATGAATATGCCGGTTTGTTTTATTCCGGAAAAGATGGGGCCGCGATTGATCAATGTGGGAGGTTGAGGTCGCGACGCGAGGCAGCGCCGCCAGCCCCGCGCCCACGCGCGGCTCCAACTGCCGAACGCTGGGCCGAATTTAATCCTTTTGTAGAAAGCAGACATTAATTGAGGCCGAGTTTAGTTCCAAACATTTTTTCAAACTTTCAACTTTTTTATCACGTCAAAACTTTTCTACACACATAAACTTCCAATTTTCTGTCACATCATTTCAATTTCAACCAAACTTTCAATTTTAACGTAAAAACACACCTTCTTGAAGCCAATTGTTTCCCCAAGGGCCAAGGCTGAGAATGCCATCATTGCTTCACATCCTTGGCGCGGCGGAGGAAGCCGATGACGCTGCTATCGCGATTTGGTGCACCGAGCCGGCGAAGGGATAAGCTTCCATCGAGAGACGGAGTAACTGGATAACTTTCTTAAGGACAAAATTGCCCCTTCCTAACGATAATTAATTTGCTAAGGATTATCTCCATTTCAGTCGATTTGATTATTTTATAAATCAAACTTCTCTAAATTTGATAAAGTATATAAAAAAAATGTAGCAATAGTTATAGCATCAAATTAATTTCATTAAATATAATGTTGAATATATTTTAATATTATGTTTATTTTGTATAAAAATGTTTCTATGTTTTTTTATAAACTTACTCCCTCCGTCCCAAAAAAAAGACAAACCTTGGATTTCCGTGTCCAACTTTGATTGTCCGTCTTATATGAAATTTTTTTATAATTCATATTTTTATTATTGTTAGATGATAAAACATGATTAATACTTTGTGCGTGACTTGTCTTTTTAATTTTTTTCATATTTTTTTCAAATAAGACGGACGGTCAAACGTTGGGCACGGAAACCAGGGTTTGTCTTTTTTTTTGGGACGGAGGAAGTACTTTTAAGCTAGACTTAAGAAAAAGTCAAAAATAACTTATAAGTATAAAACGTAACTTTTAATATGGGCCACTCATGAGGTTTAATATCCATGCAGTTTTTTCATTGCAAAAGCATATAAGCGCATCCTTCACTATAAAATGAAGGGAAAAGGCTGTATGTTTTGGCTCTAGGGAGCGCAAACCTAGAAGGTGGGCGCTTAAAAACCAAACACATTGTTAGCCTTCAGCACAATAATCAAATCAACACTGTCCAACGCTTCAGTTTGCTGCCCACAAAAAGATCATATAGACCAGTATCGTGGCAGCCGGTGCTCTCTGCTCGCAATCTGCGTTACCATAAGTTAGATTTTTTTATGGGATAGACTTGCATCTCACAAAGAAAAAACAAAATCTATTATAGAATGAGATTCGTATTACTAGAATGTGTTACGTCTAATATATTTTATTTTTTTAGGACAGAAAAAGTACATCGGAACGGGAGGCTCTGGAAACGATTCCGGTGGCTCACAAGTCACATCTGTGCCTGCTGGCCAAGGAGAAAAGGCTCATTGTTGCGGACGGACTCTCTCGTGAATTACCTCTGCCACGCCGAGCGGTCTCCCACGGATGTAGGTCGTCTACAGTAGGGGATCTCAATTGGTCTCCCACACGAGTGGGTGCCCCTTTGGAAGATCCAGTCACACTGTCTCTAGATGGGCACCGTGCGTACAGTGCCACTTGTGCTTGTGCAAGCATTGAGCTTTTGATCAAAAAATATTACTAGCTATGACTCGATGGTTCTGATCAAATCGTTGGCTGAATAGGGGACCTGTTCTTGTTAGACAATGCAGCTTGTCAGGGATAGTTAATTGTTTATAGGGACAAACTAATATATTATAAAGTTAACAGATAGTTTGGAAAACAGTTATCTAGGAAATAGTGATGAATAATGTGTTTTTAAAAGAAATCTTCGTTGCACAAATAGTAATCGCGATAATTTGCCCCTATTAGCTCATTCAAATGTGGCTGCATGGAGAGTATATTGTGGGAACTAAATTTTTTGGTTGATTAACTTAATTTTTTGTTCCATGTGTTATTTCTTTGCTATTCGTACCATCTGTTTCGAAAAGCCTCGGTTTGTGTTCACCGTGAAAGATACAATGGGAGAAATCTAGAGCTGGTTGTTTGCTATGTGGTTAAGTTCCCAGCCAGAGTCCCTCCCACCCTCCTCACGACCTTGCACGACGACCTGGATGCATAGGGTGTGTTTAGTTGTAAAGGCTGTGTTTAGATTCAAAATTTAGATCCAAACTTCAGTACTTTTTCATCACATCAACCTGTCATACACACACAACTTTTCAGTCACATCATCTCCAATTTTAACCAAAATCCAAACTTTGGATTGAACTAAACACAGCCAAAATTTTTTTCCAAACTTCCAACTTTCCATCACATCAAACCTTTCATACATACACAACTTTTCGGTCACATCGTCTTCAATTTTAACCAAATTTTAAACTTTGGACCAATCTAAACACAGCCATAAGCTCGGATGTGGCCGTGGCGGTGCCGCGGTGGCAGTGTTTTGGGACGGTTGATCCGCTTCCAGCGACGGCGACAGATGGAGACGGCCCGGATGCAGCCGGATGCAGCGGAGCCATCGGAGTTTCTACTGGCACACGACATAGCAGGGGAGGATGTGATGCACGAGACAGTGTGCCTGTGCGGCTTCATTGCTGTGGGAAGCGGCCTTGCATGCATGCTGTTGTATGCAACTGAAGCAGCCTTGTATGCGCGGATGGATAGAACTTGCTCAGATGCAATGCAGCTGCGGCGGAGGGAGAGGGTCGGCGATGGAAGCAGAGCCACTTTGAATTTCCTTGTTGTCTTTTTTAGTGTTAATTAATGGGTATACTTTGTACTTTGGTGAGGACATTTTAATTTTTCGCTATCTGTTCTAAATTTACCTCGGGCTTGTAGGATTCGTATTTTTTTATGGGAGGGAGTACACACATTTGGGGGGTGGGGATTTGGGCTGGTGGCTAGCTGGCCAGCTGGCCCACCCTGTCGTATGGGGTCCTCCGTCTCTGTTAACGTTCAATCAAGACAAATTCAGTTTCTAATGTTTAATATGGGACAAGTTTTATGATGGAGTTTACCAGCAGTACAAGTTTATATGATGTGTGCTCTATACTCTTCAAAAATTTCTACACGGACTTTAAAGAATATGGGAGACCCCATTTAGAAGCTACTTAATGGACTAAACGTCATTTATCAAGGATAGTTTCATCATTTATCATGTGTATTACTCCATAATCATGATTACGGAAGTGTTGCGGGCAAATCACATCATTGCTCGGCCATCTCGCGAAATCCCCTTGACAGAACCCATGATGGGGAGCGAAAGGGTGTTTAGGGATAAAAATAGATGAACAATTAAGGCCCCGTTTGTTTCCACTGCAAACACTGGATGAAGTTTTGGATTTTCATGGCACACTTTTCAAACTGTTAAACTGTGCGTTTCGTCGTGCGAAAATTTTCTATATAAAAATTGTTCTAAAATATCAGATTAATCCGTTTTTCAAGTTTATAATAATTAAAACTCAATTGAGCACACGCTATTACCACCTCGTTTTGCGTGAAACAGTTAATCTTCATCTTCATCTTCAGAAGATTCAAACAACACCTAAATGAGGAATAGTTGGGTGGAAGTAGTACTCCATGGGATTCCTGGTAATTATGGAAAAAATTTAAACCCTTCGTTTAATTTGTTGTATTTGTGTACGGGAGAAGTATAAGATGCATGATTGTGCTATTGACACTGGCAATGTCTGACCAACTCCTCTTATATATACTTGCAAACCTAAGCTTCTAGTCTCCTGGCAGTGGAGACATAATACAGCGAGCGACTCTGCAAGGATTCTTGTGTTACCTCGATTTACATTCACTCCTGTTTCTTGAAAGAGCAATTGGATCCATTGCTGATCTTCTGTGTGGTTAATCCCCATAGCATGTTGAGTGAGAGCAGCAATGGAAATAGGAGGCATATGGGAATCCGTCATGTAAAAAATTCCCCATAGGCTGCTCAAAAGGTCCATTCTACAATCCCACAAGAAATTGACAGCCGTTCGAGTGCGACAGCAGGTGATTGGATATCTGTGGGCTCTTCCGTCGACTATCGTACCCCGTACCCGCGGGCCACGGCCATGTATCACCGTGCTAACTAGAAGGTAGAAACCAACAAAAGTAATTCCAGAAAAAAGTATGTACAGTTACCTAAGAAATAGAAAATCAATAATAATTTCGAAGAAGGACAACACGAAATGCTAACACCGAAGGACAGAAAATCATCTAAAGCGGAAATTCCGAAGAAAAATGAAAGATGAATTAGAAAGAAACAGGGAGAACCGTAGTGGCCGCCATGCTCATTCCATAGGAAAGATTAGGAAAAGATTATAAGTTTTTGACTTGGCTCATTCTATCTCTGTCCCCTTTTGGATGAGATTATGAGTGAAATATTTGGATTAGACAACATGCAAAAATTAAGTTATCAGTACTCTGATCTCGATCTCTTCCTCAGGGAGATGTAATGGTTACTCATGCACTCTGTGATTTTATTCTTTTATTTCAGTTTGGATGGCCTAGTACCATAAAAATTAATTCTACTACGTGCAAGAGGCAAGTACAACAGACACTGGACAGCTACATGCTAAGTTGTAATTTTGAGTTGTCTGTCATCTACCATTTTGCACCCATAGTTGGCCAAAAGGCGTGAGGCCCGATGGCCTAGCCCATGGCATAAGGTTTTGGCCCGACCCAGGCATGGCACCGCCTGACTGGTGTCAAGCCCGTGCCAGGGCCTCTGCCTCGGCACGGTGGGTTGCCTGGAACGGCACGGTCCAAAGACCAAGGAGGCAAATAGTTGACGGAAGCAAAATAGACTTATTAGGCATATTAGAGGGCCCAAAGAAATAAGGGAGGCAAAACAGACTTTTTTCAATGAGGAGCACAGTACACATGCGTGCCTTCAGGCTGGCCCGACATGGCCCAAGCCTTATAGGGCCATGTCTAGGCCGTTGGTGCTGCAGGTGGGTAGGCCTGGCCCACCCCCAGCGTGTAGGTGGAGCCGTGCTGGCCCGACTGATCTCAGGCCCGAGCCCGGTTGTGCCCGGGCCAAGCAACCCATTTGGCCATCTATAATTGCACCTGCTTATCACTTATTAATTGTGATCAACCATTTTTCTCTAGAAAAATAAATGCAATCAAAGATCGAGCTATTGCCCACATGTCCATACTCTAAACATATTTCTCGCCAACTCTTTCTTATAGCTCATAATAATGAATCTTCTTATTACTCCAAAGATTTGGCCCAATGGCACAGAAGGTGGCCAAGATATATATGCACCCAGAAGGGTCTAGGAAAGGAGGAGGTTTCTTTTACTAGCTTAAGCTCATTTCTCCTTCATGACATTAACTTCAATAGCCCCATTCTTCTAAGAGAACTTGGATCCGTTGTTGATTTCTCATGTGGTTATGGTTGCAATGTTCGGTGTCGACTTGAAAACACTTATGGAAATAGGAGGTAAATTGGGAGTTCATGGTATCGATGTGCACATTAATTCATCACTACTCCGGATTCTGAGGTTCCATCTGGTAATAGCTGGAACGGTAGGCTTTAAGCCAAGAAGATGTATGCGTTATATCGCAAGTTTGATACTCCATCTTTTTTAAAAAAAAAAGAAAAAAAATGTTTGGAATACAAAGGAGGAACCTAGCATCCGGTATTGATAGAGAAGAAAATGGTGAGAAAACTTGCTTTCAAACGAAGTCGAACTTAGGCCAGCATGCTAGGTGAGCTAGGTGCTGTTCTCGATACTCCATCTTTGACTTAACAAACTTCTCTAAGGTTGGGACGTTGGGTGTAGCTTTTTCTCGGTGGTAAAATTTGCAAGAAACACTCATGTACTGCACTCGCACCAATTTAAGTGCTGACTTTACCTACGTGGTTGACGATAACTTCAGTTTCCAGATCTCCTTTTTATTGGGGAAAACAAAAGAAAGACCACTATTAGTTTTTGCTTGGTTGTGTTCTATGTACAGTTGTGATTTTCCATATTACTGATGGGAAGCTCTAGGTTCAGCAGAAAGTTATGTTTTGTAAACCAAAAAAAACATTGAGATTAAATATCTTTTAGACATACCTTCGAACATATCTGTAAAAGATTGAGATTAAATATATTTCTAAATTATTTGATTGCACACATGAAAGTCATGTTACGAGATTCATCCCTAAACATACATTCACCATATATTACAAACTTGTTGGATGCTGTAAATATATTGTAGTATAAATTATTGTTGAAGTAGTACAATTTAGAGACTTTGACCTAAGAAAAAGACATGTGGAGTACTAGGCAGTTACTTCAATATTTCTTTACCTATGGCCTGGCACTTAATTATGGCAAATGCCAAGTATACCTAAGTTTGTCACTTTCTATACTCTTTTAAAAGGGAACATATCCTATACACACAAACTTCTCGTGCACACTCCATACACACCAACTAGCAAATATCACGAAAAATTCCACAAAAGGTTGGACATTTGCTCTTAATAGTACTACACATATCGACAAAGTCTCATATTTAAATTCATTACATTTTAGCCGTAGCAAAAAAAAGTAAAAAAATATGACAGTTTTAAAGGCAAAAATTTGTCAGAATTTTTTTTGTTACGGCTAGAAAGTCTTATAATATGAAACGGATGTAGTAAGACAAAGGCTGACAAACCAGCACAACATTTGCATAAGTG